GCATTCCAAAAAGTCGGGCGGATGACGGGACCAGCTTCGCGACGCCGTCGGAGGGTGCATCACGCATCCCACAAGTCTCCGCCCTCGCATACGGTAAGCAGCGCGTGCATGGCCGAGGCCACCTGCGCCACCGCTCAATGGCGCCGCTCGGATGGCGAAGAGCGCAGAGCGTCCTCACCAAGTCGTGACACCCCCTCAACACAAACGGAACGCGCCGTTGTGAGTGCGGACACGAAGACGACACCACAACAGAGCCGCAACAGCTCTCCCCGTAACCTACGGGACGATGGTGCCGAAGCTGCGAGCCGGTGACGGGCACCTCCGCCTGCACACCCTGCAAACAACCGCCAACTGGACCGCCGTCGGCGATCAGGCGCCAATCATCGCAAGACGATGAGCGAGGGTGAACGCAACGATCCACAACCCGGCACCACGGCATAGGAAAGCCCTGACAGCCGCGACTGCCGGCAACCACGACCGAGCTGTCGTGAAAKAAGCCCTCCGAGAGAGACGACCATGGACCCAAACGGCGCCGCAAAAATGTTCGCTCGACCACCAAAGCACGACTCGCCCGTCCCTTGCAAACTGGAAACCACCCAAAGCGTGTTCAGAGAGTCCCTCGTAACTCGAGTACAAGGTCCCAAAACCCACGCCCGAAACATCGCTTTCATCGACTGCAAGGGGGCTGCTAAGCACGCAGGCCCCTATAAGAGTGTAAACGGGACTCCAAACCGCCAACCACCGACTGTTTGGCACATCCGGAGGGTGCTCACTGAGCCATCGACCGAGGGACCTGCACATGTCCCTTTCCAGCAAGCTGACTGAACAGACCCCAATGGCGATGTCCCCCTCGRGACCTCATCCCTTTCCGCTCTCAATAAGACGCCTATGGACCTTCGATCCTGGGAGACCCCCTTTTCTCGGGGCCGTTCCTACGCCAGAGTGGCAGTGCGCGGTATCTGCTGCCCCCACAAAATTCGACACCTCAAAACTCCGTCCCATCTCCGTCCCTTCCACACACAAAGGGATAAGGGGAAGGGCCGGGGAAAAAAAATATATATATTGAAAAAAAAAAAAAAAAGGGACGAAGCAAACAGAGAAAAGGCCAAGCAGCTTCTGTGCCTAGCGACTCAGGTCACGCCATGGTGTGGGAGTGAAAAGGTTACGGGAAGTCTGGCAGAATCGTGCGTCCGTTGTGGAGTTATGTGTTGGCGATTATGACCGGACACGCACTCCAGAAAGAGAAGGGGGGAAAGAAAAGTCAAGGATGACTTGACAAAATCTTCATTTTAATTTGTGTCGGCCCCGAAAAAAACTGCATCCAACAGAAGAAGCGAGGCCGAAAACCCGACGGCCATAAGCATTTCCGTGCATGTCCTGGAGAACACCATGGAGCCAATCAGGTACCGCCTCCAG